AGGCCCGAGCGGCGGAGGTAGGCCGCGGGAGGCTCCGGCGGGAGAGGAGGCGGCGGGGCCGGGCCGAGAGGTGGCTGCGGGCGTGGGGCGCCGCCATGGCCCCGGAGGAAGAGGAGGAGGAGCGGGGGGCGCTAGGGGGCGGCGGCGGGGGCGGCGATGCGGGCCCGGAGTTGCCGGACCAGGAGAAGTACGACGCCGCCGAGAACGTCAAGATCATCTGCCTGGGCGACAGCGCCGTCGGCAAGTCCAAGTGCGTGGGCCGGGCGGGGGCCACCTCCCGGGCGGGAGGCGCCGGGAGAGATCTTTTGGGGGGGCAGCAGTGGGAGGGGGCTTCTGCTAGTGTCCCACCGCTGGGCCTCCCGAGGGCTCCTGGTGTTTCTGGCCACCGTGTGACACAGAAGACTGTTGGGCCGCATCATGGGCCATTGGCCCGATCCAAGATGGCTTCTCTTATGCTCTCATGTCTGGGGCAGGAGATGCTCTGTAGTCTTGGTGCTTGGGGGGGGGCAACAGTGGGAGGGGCTTCTAGTGTCCTCCTGGCCCCACTGCTGGACCTCCTGATGGCCCCTGGTGCTTTTGGCCACTGTGTGACACAGAGTGTTGGACTGGATGGGCCATTGGCCTGATCCAACATTGGCATCTCTTATGGTCTTATGTCTGGGGCAAGGGATGCTCTGTATTCTTGGTGCTTCGGGGGGGGGGACGACAGTGGGAGGGCTTCCAGTGTCCTGGCCCCACTGCTGGACCTCCTGATGTCCTCTGGTGTTTCTGGCCACTGTGTGACACAGAGTGTTGGGCTGGATGGGCCAACACTCTGATCCAACCTTGGCTTCTCTTATGTTCTTATGTCTGGGATGCTCTGCCTTCTCGGTGCTTGGGGGTGGGGCAACAGTGGGAGGGCTTCTGGTGTCCTGGCCCCACTGCTGGACCTCCTGATGGCCCCTTCTATTTTTTGGCCACTGTGTGAAAGAGTGAGAGGTGCATCAGTGGCTATTAACCACAAGGTATAGCTAGGGGCTCTGGGGCAAGTGATGCTCTGTCTTCTTGGTGCTTGGGGGGGGCAACAGTGGGAGGGGCTTCCAGTGTCCTGGCCCCACTGGTGGACCTCCTGATGGCACCTGGTACTTTTGGCCACTGTGTGACACAGAGTGTTGAACTGGATGGGCCATTGGCCTGATCCCACATTGGCTTCTCTTATGTTCTCTTATGTCTGCACTCTCCTGGTGAACCCACTGGACTGGGTAGCCTTGGGCCAGCCACGCTCTCTCACCCTAGCCAACCTCGCAGGTTGGTTGTGAGGATAAAATGGAGGAGAGGAGAATGATGGAAGCTGCCTTTGGTCCCCATTGCGGAGGAAGGTGGGGTGCAAAGTAAATAAGTGGGCAATTCTCTGATTCCCCCCTCCTCCTCCACGTGAAGCCTGCTGGGTGACCATGGGCCAGTCACAGTTCTCTCAGAGAAGGGTTTTTAGTTTTTTGAGGGAGTGAACAAACATGTGGACAAGGGGGATCCAATAGATATTGTTTACCTTGACTTCCAGAAAGCTTTTGATAAAGTTCCTCATCAAAGGCTCCTAAGTAAGCTCAAAAATCATGGGATAAAAGGACAAGTCCTTTTATGGATCAAAAACTGGCTAATTAATAGAAAACAGAGAGTGAGTATAAATGGGCAATTTTCTCAGTGGAGGGTGATAAGCAGTGATCAGTACTTGGTCCACTGCTTTTTAACTTGTTCATTAATGATTTGGAGTTGGGAGTAAGCAGTGAAGTGGCTAAATTTGCGGCTGATATGAAGTTGTTCAGGGTGGTGAAAACCAGGGAGGATTGTGAGGCACTCCAAAGGGATCTGTCGAGGATAGGTGAGTGGGCGTCAGCGTGGCAAATGGGGTTCAGTGTGGCCAAGTGCAAGGTAATGCACGTTGGAGCCAAAAATCCCAAGTATAAATACACGTTGATGGGGAGGAATTAGGCGGAGACTGACCAAGAGAGAGATCTTGGAGTCGTAGTAGATAACTCACTGAAAATGTCGAGACAGTGTGCGACTGCAATAAAAAAGGCCAACGCTATGCTGGGGATTATTAGGAAGGGAATTGAAAACAAATCAGCCAGTATCATAATGCCCCTGTATAAATCGATGGTGCGACCTCATTTGGAGTACTGTGTGCAGTTCTGTTTACCACACCTCAGAAAGGATCTTATAGCAATGGAAAAAGTGCAGAAAAGGGCAACTCGAATGATAAAAGGGTTGGAACACTTTCCCTATGAGGAAAGGTTAAAGCGTTTGGGGCTCTTTAGCTTGGAGAAACGACGGCTGAGGGGGTGACACGATTGAGGTTATGCGTGGGATAGAGCAGGGACAGACCCCAACTCAGAGGTGACACCCCTGCATTTCATCCCAGCACCCATCACTTCCAGGGCTGCAAAAGAGAAGGGCTGCCCGTTGCCCTTGGCAGGTCTGGTGCTTGTCATAGAATCATAGAATGTTAGAGTTGGAAGGGACTTTGCAGGTCATCTAGTCCAACCCCCTGTGCTCTGCAAGGAGCATAGCCGAAAGACAGCCCTACAACATATCCAAAAGATGCCCAGCCTCCGCTTGAAAGCGTCCAGCAAAGGAACATCCACCACCTCCAGAGGCCGTCTGTTCCACTGCTCAACCACTCTTACAGTTAGGAAGTTTCTCTTGATATTAAGCCGGTAACGACTCCCTTGTAATTTCTACCCATTTGATCTTTCTTGAAATCCGGAGCAAGAGAGAATAGATCTGCTCCAGTTTGGTGGAGAGAGCCAGTTTGGTGTAGTGGTTAAGTGTGCGGACTCTAATCTGGGAGAACCGGGTTTGATTCCACACTCCTCCACTTGCACCTGCTGATGTGACCTTCGGTCAGTCAAAAGCTCTGGCACAGCTGTCCTTGAAAAAGAGCAGTTTGTGTCAGAGCTCTCTCAGCCCCACCCACCTCACAGGGTGTCTGTTGTGGGGAGGGGAAGGGAAAGGAGTTTGTAAGCCGCTCTGAGACACCTTTGGGTAGTGAAGGGCAGGGTATAAATCCAATCTCTTCTTCTCTTCTTTTTCTTCTACCTGACAGCCCTTCAAATACTTGAAGACTGCAATCATGTCCCCTCTAAGCCTTCTCTTTCCCAGGCTGAACAGACCCAGCTCTTTCAGCCTTTCCTCGTAAGACTTGGATTCCAGCCCTCTCACCCTCCTGGTTGCCCCTCTTCGAGCTTGTCAACATCCTTCCTAAAATGTGGTGCCCAAAACTGGACACGGTACTCCTGGTGAGGCCTGACCATAACAGAAGGCCTGTCATAGCCAGGCCGGTGGCTGGGTGGCCTGACTGGGCATAAAAGGGTATCCTCCGCTGAATGCCCTCTGGTTCTTGTGGCACGCTTCCTCCTGGTTGCTTGAGTAGCCAACCCTCTTGAGCGAGAAGGCCTTTCTTCTACTCTTTCTCGCTGCTGGGATGTTGTAAATGGGGCTAATTGCTTACCGGTCTTCTTCTTTCTCTCTGCTTTTAGATTGATGGAGCGGTTTCTCCTGGATGGCTTGTATCCTTTGAGGCTTTGTGACAGGCATGCTTGGCGAAGGGGAAATCATTCATTTTTTAATTTAAATTGAATTGAGTAGCTATAGGTACCGTTTTGGTTGACGTATCCACACACTTATCTGCTTTATAAATAAAAGCCGAATGGTGGTGGCACTTCTCTAGAACATTCCACACGCTCCAAAATCAGTTTGCTCTCTGATCTGTCATTCAGAGGGTCTCCCTATCCACTGGCTACTTTGCCTGAGTCCTGCCTCCAACATTCTAAACATTTTGCATATGCAGCCTCATTGGCCTCTGCCTCGGAACACAGAGGTCGTTTGCATATGCGACTTGATTGGCTTTTGCCTCCAACATTCTAAACGGTTTGCTCTTCTGAGGTAAAATGTGTCCAATCTCCAGGTGAGGGCTGGAGATCCCTCAGAATTACAACTGCTTTCCAGACGGCAGAGATCAGTTCCCCTGCAGAAAATGGTGGGCTCTGTCTCCTTATATGCTGCTGAGGTGGCCCCCGTATGACAGCCAATGTGACGTAGCAGTCAGGGCTTCAGAGCACGGGAGAGGCTGGAGGTGTGTGGGGGGTGGAAAGCTGAAGAGTGAGGGGGAAATAAAGGTAAGTTGATGATTGGCTGGGAAGGAGATAGGGTTGCCAACTCCCGGTGGGAAATTCCTGGAGATGTGAGGGATGGAGCCTGGAGAGGGTGAGGTTTCAGGAGGCATGGGACCTTGGACAGGTACAGAGCCATAGACTCCACCCTCCAAACCAACCATTCCCTTCTGGGGAACCATCGTTGCCAATCTTCAGGTGAGGGCTGGAGATCACTCAAAATTACAGCTGTTTCCACTGAGTGGAATTACACTGAGTCCACCATTTTCTCCAGAGGAACTGATCTCTGCTACCTAAAGATAAGTTCCTCTGGAGAAAATGGTGGACTCAGTGTCATTATACCCTGCTGAGGTCGCCACAGCAAATTGACACTGAGTGTCCAAGGCTGGAGCACCTGCCCAGAGCCTCTTTCTAGAGGTGGTTGTATTTATTTCCACAACGGGCCTTTTTCCTAGTCTTCAATAATACAGAAGCATGTACACCTGCATTCCTTCTCTGAGCAGTGTTGGAAAAATTGGCAAAATAGTTAAATATTCAGAGATTGCAATGGATCTTTGCTTCACTGGAGGCGTTTTCTTCTATGTAAAAATCTTTATTTCTAAGGGAAGGGTTCACAGGAAATCTACAAAACAATAAAGACACCTGAGGCTGTGTCTTTGCACTTTGACCACACAGTCTACCAACAATGGAGATTCTTCTTCTTGACCCCTAAAAGGAAATCACCTGAATACATTAACCAATGATTATAAGTAAACAGATTTCAGTTTCACTGGCTTTGTTTCCATTGGCTCTGTGCCAGGTTTCTTTCCAGGTCAGTCTAAACAATAGCCCACAAGGTAAGCACATTAACCCTATAATGACTGAATTTCAGACCTTGCAACACACATATTTCCTACAGGCAGAAGGGAGAAAGCATCATGTACAGAGAGAGAGATAATACATCTCTGTGACCTTCTGGCTTGTGAGTTCAGCAAGGGCTCACTGGAGCTTTATCTTAAGAATCTGACGTGAACTGTGGGTCTCTACTGGACTTCATGGTCACGTTGCCTCTGCAGGGGGTTTCTTTCCCCTTAAAATAACCTCCTCTGCAGTTCTCACCTTTGTAGGCATCTCCTTGACCACTTTCTCAGCCAGCCTCAGCAGTTGTCTACTTTTGCCTTGACGCTCTACAAGCACACGGCCACCGTGGATGGCAAGAAAGTCCTCGTGGGTAAGACCTTGTAGGGCACGGCAGCCACCGTGAAGTACAAGGAAAGGCAGGATGTAAATGTTTTAATAAATACGGGGGCTGAAGGCCAAACCTCCTGCTTTGGTTTGGTTTGGTTTGGTAATGGCTTTTACATACACGTATGTTGTCTCACATTTAAATGGTTGCAGTCCATTTTAAACATTTTTAAATGAAAAGGGCAAGAGTCCAGTTGCACCATGAGGACTGAACAAAATTTGTGTCAGGGTGTGAGCTTTCACGAGTCACTGCTCACTTCAGATCTGAAGAAGTGAGCCATGATGCCCGAAAGTTCACACCCTGCCACTAATTTTGTTAGTCTCTAAAGTGCTCCTGGACTCGTTCTCTTTTCTACTGCTACAGACAAACACAGGTTGCGGTCACACGGAGCATTAGCCATGCTACAGAGACGGAAGAGAGGGGATTTTCCGAGCGCGATCAAACCGCAACATCTGGGAAGCGTAGAGCACCCATGGCGAAGCCGAGGCTTCCCGCCGAAGATCCACCGTAAAAAACTAGTACCTCCGAGGTACTAGTTTCTGGAAACCGCGGGGCAAGGGCGGGCGTCTGATCACGTTTCCGGTGGTACCTCGTGGCATCCGGCGCCCGCCCAGTCGCGAAAAGGTTTTTTTTTCCCAAGTCTCCACGGGATGCGCACAAGCACCCAACGGCGCATGCGCACACTTCAGTTAAAGAAAACACACAACCCCCGCCGCGCCGCTTCTTTGCCGTGCCGCAGGATTGACGTATGATCGGCACCTCCCCCCAAACCATGGGACGTCGGCGGGACGTTTGATCCGGCGGCCGCGCGGTAGTTCTCTCCGGGGCAAACAGCCACGCCTCCCCCCGCGATATCTGGCCCGTGTGACCAGGGCCACAGCTACCTATCTTGGGCCCTGGTCACACGGGCCGGATAACGCGGCAGGGAGGCGTGACTACTTGCGGCGCCACAATTTAACGTGCCATAACGTAATCCCACACGTCGGCAGCATGCCATGGTTCCTTCCCTCCGTGTCAACAAGGCGCCGGAGGGAAAAGGGGCCCCCGTGTCAACGAGGGGCCGGCGTGATCACACTGACGCATTTCCGGAGGCAGCCCGTGGCAAACCGGTTCCTACTACCTTCGACCAGGTATTTTTTAACTCCACATTTTCAGTGATATGCCACAGGTTGGCCACAGATGCGCTCCACTTGCCAGATGTTGCAGTGTGATCACGCCTGGAAACTCCGCCATTTGATCGTGGCTCTTCCGCGGCAAATTCGCCGTGTGAATGGGGCCTTGAGGTATTTAAACGGAAAGGCAGTGAATAAGTGCATCAGATAAATGAATTAAATACGGTTCAGTCAGAGGGTGAACATGAAATTCCCGACCTGTTTTGAAAATCTGCCTGGGAATCTGCAGAAAGATGAGTCGTTGGATAGTTTTGTGTAAAGAACTCTCACCAAAAAATAGTCACGTTAAGTGAAAATGTTACCCCCTTATAAGCTCAGAAAGCGGGGGGGGGGGGGGGGATGACGACGACTTGTTTCCAGGAAAATAAAAAATGATCAAGGACAATAAAAATAAATGTCATTCAAAAAACTTTTTAAATCAAAAAAATGGCATGATACATATAAATATTGCTTAGATGCATTCATACAGAGATTGGATTTGGCTGTTTCAAAGTATAATAGCATAGACCTCTAAGACTATCTAGGGGCTGCGGTGGCTTAGAGGTTAAGACATTGAACTGCAGACCGGAATGTCTGTAGTTTGGTGGTTTGAAACCCGAGTGCCGCGTGACGGAGTGAGCTCCCATCTCCGGCCGCAGCTCCTGCCAACCGAGCAGTTCGAAAGCAAGAAACTGCAAGTAGATAAATAGGTGCCGCTTCGGTGGGAAGGTAACAGTATTCCGTGCACCTCGGCGTTTAGTCATGCCGGCCACATGACCACGGAGAAGTCTCCGGACAGCGCTGGCTCTTTGGCTTGGAAACGGAGATGAGCACCACAACCCTAGAGTTGGATTCGACTAGCTTTTGAGCAAGGGGTAAGAAGAAAGAAAGCCCCTCCCGTCTACACCAGCAGAACCACCTTCTTTTAAAATCAGGCCCCTGTGCTTTTTCTGGCAAGACGGGGAGCCCTGCATATAAATGGGACCAATTTCCTACCTGGTGGGAGGGGAGCTGCCATTGAACTTTCAACCTGGGACGTATAAGTCAGATATACAGCTGCCCCAGCGGAACACTTATTTCAGCTGGAGAGCCCAAGGGCCTTCACTCTCACTAGATGGCAAGACCTCCCAACAGCGCTGGTAGCAGGGTGTTATAAAAAGATTCCTTTGAATGAAAGATTATGTCCCTGTGGCAGTGGCGAGACAGAACCAACAGCACATGTCCTTCTTTACTGCCCTTTTTATCAAATGAATCGCTCAGAATTTATCTCCCCCCTGCTCAGTCGAAACTCTGGGTGTTCAAATCCGGGCTATGTTAAAATATTGGCTCCTGGGAGAAAACCCGCCAGTGGCTGCGCTTTGTGTGACCTTCTGTGCAGCAGCCTGCAAAACTCGACTGAACGTTCAAGAAAGTAAGGAAACACAGAGCACGACATGCCAGTGTAATTTTATAAATTTTAAGTCTTAAAGTTTAAAATCCTTCTCTTATGCATCATTGGAATGTTATTTACAATTACTTATACAAAGTTTATTATAGTTCTATCTGACACTTTTAACGATTTTGGGCGAGGACTATTGCATATTTTATTCCGTGTTTCATACTGGTGTAATACCGTAATAAATGACTTTTGACTTTGAGTCCGCCTGGGACACAGCTCTTTCCCCCCTGCTCCAACAAACTTCCGGCTTCTGCTTTTCAGATTTCTGGGACACGGCTGGGCAGGAGCGCTTCCACAGCATGCACGCCTCTTACTACCACAAGGCCCACGCTTGTATCATGGTAAGGGTTAGTCAGTTGGTGCAGCGCATGAGCTGGCGACCTGCAAGTGTGCAAACTGGATCGGCAGGGATTGGGGGGGGGGGATGAGAGTGCCCCATGAGCCACGGAGTGGAGACTGTACTGGTTGCCCTAACTGACGATCTCCGTAGGCATCTGGATCGGGGTGGTGTGGCGGCACTGTTGTTTTTGTTAGATCTGTCGGCTACTTTTGATACGGTCGACCATCAGTTGCTGACCCATTGTCTCGCCGACGCGGGGATTCAGGGGCTTGCCCTTCAATGGCTGGCCTCTTTTCTCTAGGGTCGGGGACAAAGGGTGGCGATAGGGGATCAGCGGTCCCGGAGGTGGCCCCTCGAATGTGGGGTACCTCAGGGGGCAGTGCTATCCCTGATGCTGTTTAACATCTACGTGCGCACCCTTCCCAGATTGCCCGGAGCTGTGGGCTTGGGTGTCATCAATATGCAGATGACACCCAGCTATATCTGATGTTGGGCGGCCAATTGGAGTCCAATCCAGATGACCTTCACTGGGCATTACAGGCCGTGGCTGGTTGGCTCAGACTTAGTCGGCTGAAATTAAACCCGGCAAAGACGGAGGTCCTGGGTCTGAGTCGGACCGGTCTGGGGTTGGGGCTCCCTCTCCCAACCTTTGATGGGGCGCCATTGGGACCAGCGTCGGAGGTTAGGAGTTCGGGAGTGCTCCTGGACTCCTTGTTATCAATGGAGGCCCAGGTAGCAGCCACTGCCAAGTCGGCCTTTTACCATCTTCGGCTGGTGCGGCAGTTGGTCCCCTTCCTCGACCGCGATGACCTGGCTACAGTGATCCATGCGATGGTCACCTCGAGGCTAGACTACTGTAACGCTCTCTACATGGGGCTGCCTTTGTTGCAAATCCGGAAGCTGCAACTAGTGCAGAATGCTGCAGCCAGGCTATTGATGGGTCTTCCTATACGAGACCACATCCAGCCTGTGCTGAAAGCACTGCACTGGTTGCCTATAGCGTACCGGATTTGCTTCAAAGTGCTGGTTGTTACCTTTAAAGCCCTATATGGCCAGAGTCCGGCCTACCTAAGGGACCGCCTTTCCCCACATGTTCCCCCAAGGGCACTACGGTCGGGGAATCAAAATCTACTGGATGTCCCAGGCCCCAAGACTGTCAAATTCGCGAGTTTGCCAGTTATATTTACAAGTTCCTTTTATCAGCAACAGTTCAAAATAACCAGAAACCTATTTTGTTCTTTAATAAATCAATCATTTTTTGTTTAAACTTATCCCAGCAATCGGAATAGTCCTTCCTCAGGGACACATAGTCCTCTGAAGTGCCCAGACCCTAGGTCATTCTACCAAAAGAGAGAGATTTGGAATTTTTAATTCCTGGTGGCGGCAGAAATCTACCAAGTTTATGTACACAGCGAGTGCTTTAAAGGTAAAACCGTCTCCCCTATAAGCGAGGACGCCACAGGGCCGCAGCCCAGTTCAATCATGCTCCATCCTTTCTCGTCCCCTTCTTTTTTTCCCTGGGAAATAACCGGCAAGGGTCTTTCTGAGCTGCTTCTGCATGCTTCCCAGCCCCCTGCCGGTACCCAAAGAGGGCCTGCCATGCCCTTTGTAGTCCAAGGGTCCATCCAGCAGGTTCAGCCCTGGGCAGCTGTGACAGACCCCCCTCCTTCTCTAACTGGCTGTCTTGCAAGGTCTTTGATGTCCAGAGGAAGGTCACCTACAAGAACCTGAGCAACTGGTACAAGGAGCTGCGCGAGTTCCGTCCGGAGATCCCCTGCATCGTGGTTGCAAACAAGATCGACGGTAGGTCTCCTCCTGTATCTGAGCTTCATGGGGCTGCCCAGGGGGATTGAGGTGGGGAGTCACGCAGGGAGCTGATTCAGCCCTTGGTCAGGCGTGGTTTGAAATTATGGAATTGCACCTGAAGTTGGAAACTGGGCTTTTACTGTTAGAGGTGTTACATCTGATGGCGCCTGGTATTTTTGTTAGAGTTCGACTGGATGGGCCATTGACCTGATCCAGCATTGGCTTCTCTTACGTTCTCTTATCTTGAAATAGCTGAGTGAGTCAGACGGATTGAAGGACTTTTATTATGTTTTAAAAATGTATAAGAACGTAAGAACACAAGAGAAGCCAGTGTTGGATCAGGCCAGTGGCCCATCCAGTCCAACACTCTGTGTCACACAGTGGCCAAAAGTACCAGGTGCCCTCAGGAGGTCCATCAGCGGGGCCAGGACACTAGAAGCCCTCCCACTGTTGCCCCCCCCCCCATCAGCACCAAGAAGACAGAGCATCACTTGCCCCAACCTGAGAGTTCCTGTCTATACCTTGTGGCTAATAGCCACTGATGGACCTCTGCTCCATATGGTTATCTAATTCCCTCTTATAAGAACATAAGAGAAGCCCATGTTGGATCAGGCCAGTGGCCCATCCAGTCCAACACTCTGTCACACAGTGGCCAAAAGTACCAGGTGCCCTCAGGAGGTCCATCAGCGGGGCCAGGACACTAGAAGCCCTCCCACTGTTGCCCCCCCCCCATCAGCACCAATAATACAGAGCATCACTTGCCCCAGCCTGAGCGTTCCTATCTATACCTTGTGGATCTGTGTCACACAGTGGCCAAAAACCCCAGGTGTCATCAGGAGGGCCAGGCTAGAAGACCCCCCCCTGTTGTCCCCCCCCCCCATCAGCACCAAGAATACAGAGCATCACTTGCCCCAGCCTGAGCGTTCCTATCTATACCTTGTGGCTAATAGCCACTGATGGACCTCTGCTCCATATGGTTATCTAATTCCCTCTTATAAGAACATAAGATAAGCCAATGTTGGATCAGGCCAATGGCCCATCCCGTCCAACACTCTGTCACACAGTGGCCAAAAGTACCAGGTGCCATCAGGAGGTCCACCAGTGGGGCCAGGACACTAGGAGCCCTCCCACTATTCCCCTCCCCCAAGCACCAGGAATACAGAGCATCACTTGCCCCAGACATAAGAAGTTCTCGGAGCAGTTCTGCGACTTTTTTAGAGTGTGTCACCATTAATTTACCTCGTTTATCGTCTTTCTTGCTGAGACTCAGGGCAGTTTACAAAATATAAAATTCAGTTCAAACAAATAGCAGAGACCTCCACAAGGACTAGAACTATAGAACTGGAAAACAGCACAAGCAAAATGGGCCTGACATACTTTAAGCAATGCAGAAAATGTATGACAAAGGGTCATGCTTTTAAAATAATTACAGTTTATTCCTATTTATTTATTAGTAGTAATTTTTTAAAAAAATGATTACTTTTTTTAGGGCAAACTGGTGACTCTCAATACTGTTCGTAGTTTTTTCTTACGGTTTTAACTCCCATTAGGACCATCTTGGCTGAGAAGGTGGGGTAAAAAAGGTGGCTTAAAATCAACCCACTGTTGTTAACCGATTAAAATTATAAACAATCCAACTGAAAATGTATTGATCCAACCACAAGTATATAAGTATATTAAAATTTAACAGTAGCCCAATGAATTCTAAAGAAATAGCACTTCGGAAATATTTAATCAGCTCAAACATCTTAAGGAACAGGAGGGAAATGAGTCCTCTCTCGTGTATATCTGCCACAGACCATTAAAGACTTTGAAAGTTAGTGCCTCCAACTTGCATTGGGCCTAAAAGCATAGATACCCAATTACAATGGAGAGCCAGCGTTACGTAGTTTCATCTGCTCACATCATGCAGCTTTTCCAGAAACATTTTTTTTTAAAACAGCCCAGGTGAACATCTAGATCAGGGGTTTTGAACTCATTGGTTATGAGGGCCGTAGCTGACATAAATGAGACCTTGTCGGGCCGGGCCATATGTGTCATAAAATGTAATGCCAGTTAGCAGAGATATAAACTTTATAAAGGACACAAACACAAAGGGTTTTTTTTTTACTTAAAATAAAAACATGCTTAAAACATTAGCTCTGTAAGCTGCAAACCTACTTTTGATTTATTGCCATTCACCACAGAAATGTCATGCTCAGAGTTCTGAGTCTAGGACCCAGGGTAAAACATGAAATGGCTGAGTGATTAAGAGAGTCTGGTGAAGCAAGCTGTAATGCAGCAGCAGCAGCAGCAGAACAGGAAGCAGGAGACGGCCAGTTCCACCGAGGGCTGATGGAAGCCCTCTGAGGGCCTTATTCGGCCCCTGGGCCGCATGTTTGACACCCCTGATCTAGATCATCCCTGGAATTGCTGATCATGCACCACTTGTTTAGGTTGCGAGGGAAGGAGGAAGCTGGGTGTGTCCTGCATGAGAAACGGCTGTTTTCAGTGTTGCGTTTGTGCACACCTTTTCCTGGTGGTTGGGGTTCGGATGGTGTCCCTTCCCAGCAAGAAATGTTCCCCCTTTTTTGTTTCCTCCTGCAGCTGACATGAAAATGACTCAGAAGAGTTTCAGCTTTGCACGGAAGTTCAACCTGCCCTTTTATTTCGTTTCTGCTGCAGACGGCACCAATGTGGTGAAGGTGCGTGAGGGCAGCTGCCCAGGAGGAGGGTGTTCCCTGGGCCGTGGGGGGTGGGGCTTCCCAGGGGTGCAGCAGGGAAAGAAATCGAAGTCCCAGCATGCCCTTGGAACTGACTGGCTTGTTCCTTCTTCCTCAGGTCTTCAGTGATGCCATCAAGCTGGCTGTTGGATACAAGAAGAATTCAAGCGACTTTATGGACGAAGTCCTGGAGGAACTAGAAGTAAGAGACCCATGGGACCACCCTTACCTGTAGTCATATTGGCCAGTGCTCCTCCCCCCTCCAGTCCCTGGGAAAGCAAGCTAGTAGCTGGGCTTCAAGTTTGAAGCCAGCAGCAACAACGGCCTTGCAAGCTGCAATGGCATGTGCAAATGCATTGCAGTGAGTGGCTGTATGTAAGGTCCCTCTTCCCCCTCCCTCCTGGAAAACAGAGCAAAGGGCGGGAAAAAGACAGAATGGCAGGAAAGAGAAGGTAAGTGCAGCCCTTTAAAGTTTAAACTCCCCCTCCAGCCTGTATTCGGTAATGCCAAAAATGCCGAATAAAAGCATTTTGTATTCGGCTGCCGAATAAAAGCACTCTGTATTCGGCAGCCGAATCAGATCAGAGATTCTGATTTGGCTTGCTGAATACCTGAAAAATGCAGAAAAGGCATTTTTCGTTTTTTTCCCCAGTTCAACTCTACTGAATGCACACCCCTACTCCCTGGTCTGCTAACGCAGTGGAACTGCAGCTTTTGGTCCCCCTGGTGAACTGGTTCTGTGGTTTTGGTTCCCTTGTTTATCACTCCTTTAACCCCAAGTGGCAGCTCCAGATGGTGGACATGGTCTCCCTTGGTTTATCCAGCCCTATTGGTCCCCCAGTGAACTTCTTGGCTGAGCAGGGATTTGAACCTGAGTCTCCCCTAGTCTAGCCCAGGCACCGCACCGCCCCGGCTGACCATTTCCCATAGACCGCTGTTCAGTGCTGCTCTGAAACCAGTCTACACCTGCAGTGGCTTCTGCTTCTGATGGGACTGTGGCTCAGTGTAAGAGCCTCTGCTTGGCATGCAGAAGGTTCCAGGTTCAATCCCCGGCATCCTTAGCTAAAAGGATCTGGTGTGAGATGATGTGGAAGACCCCAGCCCGAGACCCTGGACAGCTGCTGCCAGTCTGAGCAGACACTACCGACCACGATGGACCCAGGGGGTCTGATTCAGTAGAGGGCAGCTTCCTGTGTCCGTGGATTATGCTGCTTTGGGAGGGGCCGTGGCTCAGTGGTAGGGCCTGTGCTTGGCATGCAGGAGGTCCCAGGTTCAGTCCTTGGCATCTCCAGTTAAATAGACAAGGTAGTCAGGGGCATGTAAGTTGTTAACCCGAGACCCTGGAGAGCTGCTGCCAGTCGGGTAGACAGAACGGACCGTGAAGGACCCGGGGGGTCTGATGCAGGATAAGACAGTGTCGTGTATGTGACTGTGGGTGGTGGAGAGCTCCTTCCTTTGCTTTGCTCCATGGTCTTGGTTGCCCCTCTGTGTTCCTTTGCAGCCCTTCTCTCTCTGTAAACAAAATTACACCAAAAACAGACCATCAAACGTTACATAGCTCTCTAGTAAGCACTTTTTAACATGAATTATACAATACAGTAACTTTCATCACTTATCGTGTCGCAAGAACCCTTGTAAGAATACATTTTCGAACAGTAGCAGGCTGGGTCCGCATTATTGAAGTCTTGCTCATTCAGGTTGGGTTCCAAACAGGAACCGTTGAAAGTATAGCTGTAGGAAGCAAGATGAAGAATTCATCAAACGAAACAACCTTCCATCCGGAGTGGGGGGGTGGGTGTTTCCTGCTGTTTTGTAAATCAGTCAGTGGAGGTAGTGCTGCTGTTTTGTGTATCAGTCTTTGGAACTGTTCCAGGTTGGTGCAGTGGTTAAGTGCGCGGACTCTAATCTGGGAGAGCCGGGTTTGGTTCCCCACTTCTCCACTTGCACCTGCTGGATGACCTTGGGCAAGCCATAGTTCTGGCACAGCTGTCCTTGAAAAAAGAGCAGTTTCTGTCAAGAGCTCTCTCAGCCCCACCGACCTCACAGGGTGTCTGTTGTGGGGAGGGGAAGGGAAGGGAGTTTGTAAGCCGCTCTGAGACACTTTTGGGTCGTGAAGGGCGGGGTATAAATCCAATCTCTTTTTCTTCTTCTGTTTCATCCATACATACTTGTCTAATGGATGCAAACAATCTAGAAGGGATCTTCTCCTCCAATTCAGAAAAAGAAAAGTCATTGCTTCAAGAATTTTGTAACAAATGTTGCAATTCTAGTGCTATCTTGTTTGTTGCGTTGAGCAGAGAAAACTTTTAGATTAATGCATATTTCTTAACCACAGATGTTGGTCAAGTGTGTATAAATTTAAATGAATGCACTGCATGTTGCGATAAGTGATGAATCGCCCAGAGTCAGACACAGCGGAATGGCTAACAACAGCAAGTGATGAAAGTTATTTTATTGTATAATTCATGTTAAAAAGTGTTTAATAGAGAGCTATATGGTGTATTTATTTATTTATTTCGATTTATATCCTGCCTTGCCTGCACAGGCAGGCTCAAGGCGGTGTACAATGGGTTAAGAACATAAGAACATAAGAGACGCCAATGTTGGATCAGGCCAAAGGCCCATCCAGTCCAACACCCTGTGTCACACAGTGGCCAGAAATACCAGGTGCCATCAGGAGGTCCACCAGTGGGGCCAGGACATTAGAAGCCCTCCCACTATTGACCCCCCCAAGTACCAAGAAGACAGAGCATCACTTGCCCCAGAGCCCCTATCTATACAAAATACAATAAAACACAGGTGCAAAATGCAGTACTATAAAATTCCACATAAACAACGATATACAAAAGTGCAGTTAAGTGCAGATGGCAATTGCTGTAAGATGGTCCAGTGTAGCTAGGCCAGTATCCAAAGTTGTTCTTAATTCCGGTAACAGATCAGTTTTTAATAGCTGACTCATCAGTGGCGGCTCCTAATCGAAGGCCTGGTGGAAGAGCTCCGTTTTAAAGGCCCTGCGGAACTGTAGGGGGTCTCGCAGGGCCCTGTTGTCTTCCACCAGTGTGGAGCCACCACTGAAAAGGCCCTGGCTCTGGTGACAGCCAATCTGGCGTCTTTCGGACCAGGGGGAGTCAGGCGGTTTTGCGACCCCGACCTCAGTGCTCTCTGGGGGACATGTGGGGAAAGGCGGTCCCTCAAGTAGGTAGGTATATAACGTTTGATGGTCTGTTTTCAGTGTAATTTGGTTTATTGTGTTTACCTACTCACACCGGACTCCCCTTTTGCGTCTGCGTTGCCCTTCTCTCTCTGGAAGCAGCTGCAGTGGCGCGACATCCAGGGGGCACCCAGTATCGTTGCCCCCTCTAGCCGTGAAAGTGGGGGCACTCTTTGCCAGCATGAGCCGGCAGCTCTCTCTCCTCTCTCAGGGTGGGGGATGAGGCTCGTGTGATGATTATCGGGTCTAGCAGAAGTGGTGAGGGAAAGCTTGAGGAGTGCCCTATTGATTGTTTTACAGACGGGTGCATCGGTGCCTGGGGTTTGCTCTCCACCACTCGTCTTTCTCCTCCCATGTTCCCTGCAGAATTTTGAGCTGGGGAAGAAAGGGGAGGATTCGTTTGACAAAGAGGAAGATGGCCCGGAAGACGGGTCCCCGTCGACCTGAGTCCTGGGAGCACGGAAGCGGGTTCCACAGCTCCCCGTCGCAAGTGCCGACAGATCCTCAAGAGAGGGCCCTGCATCGAGGGGACTGGCCGCCCTGCCTTCCACGCTCAGGATGGAGAGGTGGCTCGGCGGAGACCTGTTCTGCCGTTCCACGGGCTCGTGGTGCGGACGGCCGAGAAGAGACATTGGAGCAGCGGCCCATTGGAAACGGTGGGGGTACAGTTCGGTGGGGCGTGGGGCAGTGGATGCCCCTGGCCCACCCCTTCTGAGCACAACCCATTGTAGATGGCATCCAGTTTAAGAAATAAATGCCGAAGGACTGGCAGCAGAGTGTCGATGGTTCTCCTTGTCGCGTCCTGAGGCCACAGAGGTCGCCTTCCAGGTATCTTCTGGGGGGGGTCATCTAGCAGTTGCTGGTCAGATGCTGGGGCACCCCCCAAGCAGGGCATGAATGCAGGCAGTGGCCATCTCTGACGTCTGCTTTTGAGAGGTAGTTCTCAGGACAAGTAGTCCCCATACCTGACCTTCAGGGCTGTGCTTTTGAAGCCGCTTTCAAGGAAGCACTAGTGGCTGCTTCTGTGGTCGCTAATTCCCAAAGACGTTATGTGGGCACTCAGGCGTTTCTCTCCCTTCCACACCATTCCATCCCAGGCCAGTTCTGCCCCATCCTTCCTACATCGGTTTGGTGTCATGGCTAAGTGCGCGGACTCTAATCTGGGAGAACCAGGTTTGATTCCCCACTCCTCCACTCGCAGCTGCTGGATGACCTTGGGCAAGCCGTAGTTCTGATGAGAGCTGTCCTTGAAAAAGAGCCGTTTCAATCAGAGCTCTCTCAGCAGCCCCACCTGCCTCACAGGGTGTCTGCTGTGGGGAGGGGGAAGGGAAAGGAGATTGTCAGCCACTCAGACTCATTCGGGTAGTGAAGGACGGGGCATAAATCCAATCTCCTCCTCCTTCATATCATCCCAATGCCAATTCCTTCCTCCCCCTGCCCATCATCTGCTTCTGTATTCTTTTCCATTTGCAACATAGTGATGGCCACGTGGGTCTTGTTTCGGGAGGGCCAGCGGGTTTCCCGTGCATTCCTTCTGCCCCGAGACGCACCACTCCTGTGCCGCTCTCAGCAGTGGCAGCACAGAGACACCTAGAGTGGGAAGGGGGTTGCCGGTCCACGTGGTCCCAGGCCCTGCTCAGAATCCAAAGCTTGGGCCTTCCTGGCAAAGAGCTGTCCAGCTGCTGCTTAAAGACATCCAGCAAGGAAGGAACCTCCCCACCCCCCAACATACCCCTGGGCCGCGTTCCCCTGAGAGCCAGTTTGGTGTCGTGGTGAAGTGCGCGGACTCTAATCCGGGAGAACCGGGTTTGATTCCCCACTCCTCCACTCGCAGCTGCTGGATGACCTTGGGCAAGCCCTAGTTCTGATATGAGCTGTCCTTGAAAAAGAGAGCTCTCTCAGCCCCACCTCTCTCACAGAAGGGTGTCTGCTGTGGGGTGGGGGAAGGGAAAGGAGATTGTCAGCCGCTCTGAGACACCTTCGGGTAGTGAAGGGCGGGGTATAAATCCAATCTCCTCTTCTTCTTCTTCTTCTTCTTCTTCTTCTTCTTCTTCTTCTTCTTCTTCTTCTTCTTCTTCTTCTTCTTCTTCTTCTTCTCTAAGCTGAGTTACTGTGAGCTAGCTCACAGGTTTTTAGCCTCCAGCTCACAGGTTTTTGCCTTCGCTCAGGAAGGACGGCTGCAGAGCAAACTAATTGATGCACTGGCCAAATGGTTCACTCCCACCTTTAATGCCAGTAGCTCAAAAAGTAGAATTTTTGCTCACAGGATTCCACAGCTTAGAGGGAGCATTGCCCCCGGGTCATCAGTTCCATTGTTGAGCCCTTCTTATCCTTAGGACCACCCTGTACTACAAGGATTTGCTTGGGGAATGGGCTTCTGAAGCCTTCCATAGCACTGGAGTCTGCCTTTTGAGAGGCGTTGAGAGCCCACTGGGGTGTCGTGGTTAAGAGCGGTGGATTCTAATCTGGGAGAACCGGGTTTGATTCCCCACTCCTCCACATGAAGCCAGCTGGGTGACCTTGGGTCAGTCACAAGTTCTCTCAGAGCTGTTCCCTCAAGGGCAGTTCTCAGAGTTCTCTCAGCCCCACCTACTTCCCTATGTAGCTCGTGTCACATGTATTATTCAGATGCACTCTTGTGCTCAGGAATCCCACTGTTGGCTGATCTGGGGGGAGTTGATACCACGGTGGGGCTGGAGGGAAGAGGACTTAGTTGTCCAGCATCTGTTCCAGCAGGCCAAAGATGTCGAGCCTCACTGGTAGAATCATAGAACCATAGAATTGGAAGGGGCCATACAGACCCATCTAGTCCAACCCCCTGCCCAATGCAGGACCAGCCTAAAGCATCTCTGACAAACATTCGTCCAGCCTCTTCTTGAAAGCTGCCAGTGAAGGGGAGCTCACCACACCTCCCCGGGCAGCTGATTCCACCTCTGAACCACTCTGACCCTGAAAAAGTGTTTCCTAATATCCAGCTGATACCTCTCTGCGTGTAAGGTCTAGTGGAGAGTATTAAGAACAATAAGAGAAGCCCATGTTGGATCAGGCCAATGGCCTATCCAGTCCAACACTCTGCGTCATGCAGTGGCCAAAAATACCAGGTGCCATCAGGATGTCCAGCAGTGGGGCCAGGACACTAGAAGCCCTCCCACTGTTGCGTCCCCCCCCCAAGCACCAAGAATATAGAGCATCCCTTGCCACAGCCTGAGAGTTCCCATCTATACCTTGTGGCTAATAGCCACTGGTGGACCTCTGCTCCATATGCTTATCTAATTCCCTCTTGAAGCATTGAGTATTGGGTTTCAAAGCCCTTCTTTTCCACTAACCCTTTGACTGGCCCGGCTTTTTGGTCTTACGTTTAAGGTTTCTTGCATAGACTCTTGAACGCTGATACCCCCAAAAGTCTTGCTGGTCTCTGAGGCTCTCTCAGCCCCACCTAACTCACAGGGTGTCTGTTGTGGGGAGGGGAAGGGAAAGGAGTTTGTAAGCCGCTCTGAGACACCTTTGGGTAGTGAAGGGCCATGGGGTATTAATCCAAACTTCTTTTCTGCGATCTCTTTTAAGATGCTACTGCACTTTAATCTCTTTGTTCTACTGCAGGCCAACATAGTGTCAGGCTCGGGGTGATTGACCATCTGTACCTGTTGTCTTGCCTTCTAGGGGTCTGGTTCTCTTCTTCTCTTATTGTCTAAACCCTTCCCCCCCTGCCTTCCCTTAGAGTGTTGTTTTAACCTGCACCACTTATCAGCCACCCTCGCCTGCCACAGCATTTCTGGGGGGCAGTGAATGCGTGTAGGAGTAGACTTGCTTGCTTGTGTAACTCTTCTATGATACCCCTAAGGACAATCTTTCACATGGGAAGGTGTGCTTGGGAGAAACGTCTTTGATTAGCTAGAGATGGACCATATATCTCTCAGGGTCTGGGTAGTGAGGCTGAGGTGTCAGAATGGAATGTATGATTGTGACTGTGTGCACCCTTCCTGCCTCCCTGCCCACAGTTCTGACAAAAGAGTTCAATCCCTGCACATCTCATATCTTCTAATAAAACTTTCAATGAAAAAAGGAAAAAGAACTGTGACAATTTAGCGCTTGGTAATATATTCATAAATCGTAAGATACAATAACAGAAAATGAGTAATATATATATAGTGAATGTAGACGGTGGTCTCCGGAATGGTGTGCCGTTTCGACAATGATCTTCTTCTGAACAAGGGTGTGTACAATGGGCATTCAGCAATTATAGCCCACTGAAGAACTTAGCTGTAAGCTGTAACGATATGAGCTTGTGTTTGTA